GCGTGCGGTATACGATAAAAGTGCGAGATACGTGTGGTCGTCATAGAAACAAATTATTTTAAGAGATATCTGCTGGGAAAAAACAGTTTTTTTGTTAAAGATACGAGCGGCCACTCGTACCGCTCGTGGGCTGGATCCGCCACTGGTTCACACTACAAATTTTCCAGAGTTAACTTCAGAGAGCGTTCACATCTAAATCTTTAATATACCAATAAAATTTTGACATTTCCCTAAAATTGTGCTGTTCCCTGGCTTCAGTGCTCTCAAAGATTGCGGCTTGCTAACAGCCGGTCGATTTGAATTTACGTTCTATAGTTGGCTTTCTAAGCTCAAACCGAAAAATTGAGCAGAGAGTCATATATTTGTTTCCCCACAGAACTGGCGCTACCTCCCTTGTCTACTGAAACCATATTTTAGCTCATTTAACCTTTGTAGTGTGAACTTAACTAAACGCTTTAAAATTTGTTTGTGAAATGTAGAGAAATAAGCTCATTCTTTTTTATCACTAGTTTCATATTGATTTTGATATTTTAAACTTGACTTGTTTCACAAATTAAATTTTATTTTACAACCGATTTTTCGTTACAGAAAAAGTAGCAATAAAAAACGCGGTTGTAAAACAATTTATTTATAGTTCCATATTGAACCAACAACTCTTCAGCCATGATGTGCATATTGCATTAACCTTGTCTATGGTAATTATCTGACGTATTTTAGATAAGAAAACAAAATAATGTCATCAGATGAGCCAACCTGTCGTAATCCTCTTGAACAAAACAGCACTGATGATTGTATGAATACGAAAAAGGCTGATATAACGGTAGATGGCAAGTTCACATCAAGCTCACGTGCTTCGAATGAGAAAAAAAACGTGCCGTATGGTCAAACAGTCATTGGAAATATGAATACCAAAACTTCGCCGACAACTGAAAATAATATAATTGGTTCACAGTCCATTGTATTTCCAGCATGTATGTATTATCATACTAAACAAGCCCTATGTAACTGACGGATTCAGAGGTGTACGGTGGATGCGATAGCACCCACTTTCAAAATATTTTCAGAAGAGAAAGAAACACGGTTAGTGCCTTCAGCCTCAAACATTTAAGCACTCGCATCCCCCCTCAAAAATTCTGGATCCGCCACTGTTCTATATTAACTACACTATCTTACTGCTTAGTTTTTTTATAGCAATTTGCCCTAAAGCAGCAGAATATATAGCACAGGGTTACCAAGAATTGCCGCTTAGAAAAAGAGATGATCATCTCCTTTTTGCACGTCCTTATGATGAAGTAAGTATGGACACAACAACGACGACGACAAAACCAGAAAGTGTAACGGGTGGAAATAGAGGAACTGTCTGTCCCTAATCTATTAAACGATTAATTTATCCAATGAAAACAACCAGATATTGTCTGTATACATTTGAGAATATGTAATATTTTTCAATTAATAAATATTGATATGTAAATACTATATAAAGGTTTTTTTTGTTGTTTTAACTTTGTTTATTATTTATCGTTGCCGTATTGTAACCGAATATTAAGTTGGTATAAGCTTTATTCTGTCAGAATACAAATGGAAAAATATTCCATTATAATATTCTAAACTAAAACTATCGAAGAACACAAAATCAATTTTGTACAAATAGAGATTCGAACATGTGAACTTAGTTTTGCAGTTAACTGCAAAACAAATTTACTTGAATATTAAGTTTCAACACTATTGTAACTCGAATATCGCAGTATTAGATCGAAATCATTCTAATTTTCTCCCATATTTAAGACGTAATTTCACTGGATTCAAAACTTAAGGACATGATTAGAAGATCCGACTATATAACGAGTGTGCCAGAGTAAATGGCGGTCTCAGTATTTTGTGAATATATCTTTCGGTTTTCATCACTCAAATTTTAACTTGGTTAGAAGATTTTGCCGTTTCATTCTCTATGAAAAACATATCGAACATTTTTTTTATATACTGTAGAAATAAAAGAATATAGATGAAATACTGCGAAATCTTCAATTTCCATTACTTTCAAACCCAAAAAAACAGTTTTTCAATTTTAGTTCTTTGTATTTTGTGATACAGAAGAGATGACCGTTTTGTTGCCCTTGAAAAGCTCTACCAATTGGCTATGTTTAAAACCTTTAATAATCGCAATTGGTTGAGGGGAAGTTTTTGCTTATATCAGTTTTATCAAGAATCGTCGTTTTCAAATTGTAGTTTTGGTGGCATTCGGAAATTTTTTTATAAATAGGGCAAAAGCAAATATTTTTAAGTTTAGTTCGTCTTAGCTTAAAGCAAAATAATTCTTCTCTTACATCCGAACAGAGGAAGTTCGTCAGCTCTCTATTTCCTTTCCAGTGGCAAGACGAAAAGGCAATTTTCCTGTTTTTTGGTGGACTCTGGTAACATTGTTTCAGAAAAACATGTTCAAAGTCAACCTTTGATATATGAAAAGAAAGAAAACACTTCGAGGCACCAGAAAATACGTTTTGATATTACTTTGATGCATTGCATCAGGCTAAAATAAATATCTTTTCGTCTTGTTTTCGGTTTGAAAGCAATGGAAATTGAAGCTTTCGCAGTATTTCATCTATATTCTTTTATTTCTACGGTATATAAAAAAAATGTTCGATATGTTTTTTATAGAGAATGAAACGGCAGAATCTTTTAATCAAGTTAAAATTTGAGTGATGAAAACCGAAAGATATATTCACAAAATACTGAGACCACCATTTATTCTAGCACGTCTGTTATACCCTATTTGTAATTAGTTTTGTGTTCGTAGAGTTTATCAAATCAACTCCGATGGCTTTCATCATACAATAAGTCTTTCTGACTTAGTTTCCCTCTGAAACAAGCTGTACAAATAACTAAAAAAATATTCATCGGAAAATTTACAGAAAAGTCAGTACAGTAGGATATCGCTGTACAAAAAGTGAGATTCGCACCGTTAAATAAGCAAGAAAAAGTGCTGAATATGGAAAACTATGGTTTTTTGGAGCTCCGTTTTCAATACAAAATTTTTTCACTATTTCAGTCTTATAGATAAATGTATGGACTACCTTTTAGGAAAACTATTGAAAATTCTGTTCTGTTGATTTTAAACTTAAAATTTAGAATTTCAATTTTTTCTCATGGCAACTATCATTTTTAAACACACTGTTGGAAACAGCATGAAAAATCGAACAAACTTAGGGGTTTGCCAAATTTTAAGAGTAAAATTCTAAGGAGTTTTCAAGAAACCTGTATCGATTTACGTTTATCATCAAACTTTAGTTGAATTTAAATTTCTGATGAACGCAAGCAACTTTGATGACCATCATATAAATAAGATTTTGGAATCTGAAAAAGTTTTCTAGCAGCACGAAAGGAAAAATATAAAAATTCACACTTGCTGTGTATTAAATCAATGTTATCAGTAAGGTGCACCAAATGCAAAAGTGCAGTGGAAAATTTTTTCGGTCAATTTATACATGGTTACATAGAGCTCAACGGACTGATCTAGATTATCCAGGTTCTAGTTCAAAAGATTGGATTTTGAAGGAGAAATTTTCAAAATACTGGAAGGGCCTAGAAATTCATAAAACCGTTAGGTTGTGAAAAATATCGAATATTTGTTTTCCTGTTTCGTTTTTAAACGCCGCAAATTTTTGTTTCAAATTCAGCGTAATAAACTTGGCCAAGAAATGTTGTTTGGAGCCTGATCACAACGTGTCCAAAATGGAATCTCATGTTCAAACAGGGTCTAAAGCGCAAAAATTTTTTATAAATTAAAATTCTTTTTACAAAGTTAAAATTTTAAACGCGACAAATTTTGGAAGTTTATCTAGTTTTTTCTGTTAAAAGATATAAACTTCACTGTAACTGTCTGAGTCTCGATTAACTCTATAACCGACGGATTTTTCGTTCGAAAAGCGCTAAAATGACTGAGATCTGTGGTCATTCATTAACGTATACATTCAAACCTTTAATTGCTTTATTATGCGCGTATTTTGGATATTCTCAATACCCTGCTCGATATTTTTTTAATTGATCTGATCAATCTTTAATAATTGACGTGCGGTCAGCAGTAGCGTTTGGTAAGACTGTTTAACCTACAAAATAAATCATTAAAAGTATTTTCCTCCAATTGCTAGTCATTATATGCTTCTTCCCCGAACATGCTTTACATGCTAAATAAGTTTAAGTTGGTTTGTGTTGGAACTACAGGATTAACCTTCTATTATATAATGGACATCGTTTACAGACTCTTTTACATCGTTATATCCACTGATAGGTTTAAAACTAGTTGAGTTATAACTAGTTGAAGTTGAAATTAGTTACAACTAATTTAACTTTTAGCCAAAAATTTACAATAGTTATAACTATCAACCACGGTTGGTAGTAATAACTCCGTTTGATAGTGTTGATTGATATAACTGCGGTTGAGAGAGCTATAACTATTTCAACTTTAGTTATAACTGTGCCATGATACAAACTACAAGGACCTTTCATAATTTTATTTTGAATTGGTAGTCATTACTAAAAACTAATGCAGTTATAACTGGATTTGGAATAGTTATCACTCTATCCATTTGGAGTTGTAACTCGTTCAACCGCAGTTATATCAAACTATCCGGGTTGATAGTTATAACTTGGGTTCATAGTTATAACTCGGGTTTTAACTATATCAACTTTTTTAGAAATTTTCTTAACTTTTAACTTTCAAAAAACAGTTTTAAACCCATCAATGCTGTTACCATACATAATAAAAAATGCCTTAAACCATTGTTTGTTGTGAGAGAAAGTTTTACATCTAATAATAATAAACCAGTAAAGTTTCTCCAAAACCATCGATCAAATTAATTCTTCAAACAAACCAATTATTGAGCATGAACGAGGCCCTAGTGAGAAACTTACTCAAATCTTGCCAAGATCTTAGAATAATCTTATTAGGATCTTAATAAGATGTAGCTCGCATTTGTCTAAGATCCCAGCTAGGGGAGGAAAGTAGTATTAATACCGGAGAAAATACCGTTGACATACCCACCAGGGACGTAACA